CTCTCTCTCTCTCTCTCTCTCTCTCTCTCTCTCTCTCTCTCTCTTTTCGCCCAGTTTGCTCGCTTGAAACTCGATGAATTTGCGCGGACGAGTTTTCGTGGCTTGTTAAATCGCGGCTTTTTTACGATAGGCGGAAGCGATAGTGGCGGATCCTCTCGGATGTTGGATACAAAAACATGGAGAGAGGAGGGAGGAGGGGGAAAAAAAAAAAAGAAAAAAAAGAAAAAAAGAAACAAAAGGATAAAGAGGAGGGTGGGTGGCGGATAAACCGATCACAGGAAGGACGGTTTGTCCGCGCGAAAATCGAGTTTTTACGAGAGCGCGGCAGTCGCTAATCCGCCATTTTTTCCGCGCTTTCGTCTCGCATCCACGTTAACGAATATTTATTAAGCTTTTGAAACAAAAGAGTTGTTTTTAGCCTCTCTCGCTGTTTTGTCCTCTTATTTGCATCTTTATACGCTCGTGTACGTGAATTGTATTCTTTTTTTAGGAGGGAGGAGGGGGGAAGGAGAAGATAAATATATTGGAAACGAGCAATGCGTTCTTGGAATTGTATTCTTCTTGTCTTTCGGGAAACGAGAAACGGTCTTTATTCGAAGAAGAAAGCGTAGAAAGTGTATGTAATTTATTTTAAAACTGATTCAAGTGTAATAAGTGTAATTTTTTAGGATTTTAGAACGAAAGGTGTGATGATTATATATTGCATTTTACAAATGGGGAATATCGTGCCTAAATTTGAATTAATTATATAATCACGTGTCATTTGTCATTTCAATTAAAAACCATTGAAAAGAATACGAAATTGAAATATTTCTGGAACTGGCCATCGGGGAAAATCCGTATTCAAACCGTATATCGGATCATCTTTCATCATTGAGAAATTGCACACCGTTTGTCGCATTTGCAAATGTCCCGTCTGCAAATCGTTTATGAGGCCTGGACCCTCGTCATCTGTCATACTTGTCGTACCCACACGCACACGTCATTTTTTATCAACGAGAAAAAAAATGCAGTGACAAGTGTTTAACCACAGACGTGTTACACGTGACACCAAGTGTTAACAATGGTTCCATAACTTTGTTGCGCTTGTTCGATACGAACGAGCGTGTACCGTACAGTATCACGTAACAATACTCTCTGCAACATTGTTACGCGGAACAATTGAACACGTTACACGCATCGTTTAAACTCTCGTTTCCGAATTTCGAGCCGATCATTTATGAATGTTCGATGGAGCAACAGGGAGGGGGGAGGAGAGACACTGTTGCATAATTCACTGTTGCAAATTTAAAGGAACGAAAGATGAAAAGTTTGTCTATGGATTGGATATAGCCGGAGGTTATTAGCCAGTTAAGTTCAATGTTACATCCTGTCTGAGTGTGATAGAAGGTCCCAGCACTCCCCAGTTGACTTATGACGTTGCTCGGATAATCTGTTATGATCGACGTCATTTTATCCCGTCGATATTGTTGTTATTTCCGGGTCTGTGGAACAAGCAGAACAAAAAACTGAGATGTCTGCCATCTTTTTTTTTAAACGTCGATCTAACTTTATTCGTGACATGACATTAATTTGAATAGCAATTATTATTTGTCAATCCTTTTTTTTTTAAATCTAAGATAATTAATAATATCAGAGAAGAAGTTTGATTTAATTTTTATCAAATTATTGTACCAGTATTGAAGTATATTTAGTTGGTTATTGGAATTTAAATATTTGTCTATTGAATGTTGTATATAATTTAATAGATATTCAATTTAACCCACATAATTTTCGAGAGAGAGAGAGAAATTGGCTATATGTAAACGTAAGAGAATAGGTTGCAACATTGTCGGTATAGATGTAATATGTAGAACAAGATACAGGATGGAAATGAATTTATCATGGAATTGAAAATTGTTATTTGAACGAAGTTCACGTTCCATTTAACAATTGGCCCGCAGTATGAAACACGTGCCCTGTACCCCATCCAAAATTTATTCTGCTTTATTACTGCCATGGCGATTCGTGCTGATAAATTATTACACGAGAAATCCTCGACTTTTGTCAAATAATCTTCATTCGTAGATTCGAGTATTAATTTTAGGCTGAAATTTAAAAATAATTCGGTAACATGATAAATAAAAAAATACCGAGAAAATTTTAAAATTACAGTGTCTCCATTTCTCTAAGAATTGATAATTCCTAGTAGATTCGATAATTTCATAACACAAGACGTTACGTCACTTCTAATTTAAGAACTGTTTCGTTGGTTGTAAGAAAAGAATTTCGCGGGGGTTGATTTTCGAAAAATTCAAGGCTATAGAGAACGTTTATATTTACGCGCATCGTCATGCAAGAAAGTTTAAAAGATGCGTATTCGTCGATATTTTCTCAAACTTTGTATCTTTGCATAACTTTGGAATTTGTTTCGTAATAAAAAAAAATTATTTTATTTTACAAATATAAGCATCTAACGCTTTTCTATTATTTATAACAAAATTTGCTTAAAGATTTTAAAGATTTTAAAATAATCCAAGCAATATAATATTGCTCGATTCAATTAACAAAGATAAAAATTAAAGAAAAAATTTCGAAATATAAAAATGTGAAAACATTTCACGATAAGATAAATCTCCGAAATGAGATGAAATATTTTACTTGATTTCATATTTATTATACAAAACTAGAATTTGTGCACCATTATCTGTCAACTCCATTTTACAAACTTGTCGACTAAATCTTTCATCGTTTTATTTATCTTCAGGTCGGAAAATGGAGCCAAAATTATTCGAATTAAAAAATTTCCACGATTCGATTGGACTATCGAATTTGGATAACCAGAAAATTTAAATGATTAAGTTGAAAAGAAAAATTCTAAATAAACCGAATTCCCTGAAATATTTCGGAGAAAATCGTGACGAAACATCTCAAATACATCTCTATTGAAAGATGTCTAGGTCAACGAGATGAAGAGATTTGAATGTTGTATCAGTGGAAGGATCAAATGGAACAAAGTTTCTCGCAAGTGAATTTTGAATGAAAATTGGAAAGCGAAGTTTGATCACACTGATAAGATAAACTCTAAGGTTAAAATTTCAATTGCAATTATAATTTTCGATCATTTCGTTTCAAGAATGTGTATATTTTAAAATTCTATTTGCAATTTATGATTATGATATTTTGAAGTTCTAAATTGCCTAAAAAGAAAAAGTAAGAAATTCGAATATTTGCAAAGATTCTTATAATTTAAATTTCATTTACTAAATAATCCAATAAATCTATTGAAAAATTTGCTCACTGAAATTTGGAATGCGTCAAATAAGGGGGAACAAATGATGCAGAGAACGAGAATGCGAATAAGAGTGATGAAGGTATGGGTGGGTGGGACAAGAGGTGACATTCATTACGTTCAAACTCAAACGTTGAATTCTATATTCGATTGGCCGTATGTGAACGCAGCCAGGAACAGATAGTTGGTCAGGTTGCACTATAAATAACGGAAGTTTGCGAGCGCGAAAGTTATTTCCATGGCGCCTTGGGTCAGGCGTGCACTTGACTTGAATGCTTTTGCGTGACATAACGAATCGCCACGTGTTCGTTAAGTTTTAACCTTTGACCAGTTTTCGATGATCAGAAAGAACCATGGATTTTTGCTTCATCGTTTCGAGGAAAACTCGATAAATCAGTTTAGAAGGAAATGATGTAATAAATAGGTAACGTGTGCTTCTGTTGATTCTAGGATTAAATTTGGATCACGAGGGAGTTTAAGCTTCTTGTGTTTAAAATTCGACGAATTTCTTTCTTGAAAGGTTAATTTCTCCGTATTTTTAAAATTTTTTTTAGCTCAAACCATTTATGATTTATGATAACCGTAGAAAATAAGTTTTAAAATTTCTTCTAATTAAATTATAAAAATAATTTCGATGAATGTCATTCGAAATTTGAAAATTATTGAACTCATATATGAATTTAATACAGACTTCGTTTCATAACATTGTTGAACTAGTTCACAGTGAGTATTCGTTTTCAATATTGTTGTATCATAATCGTTGGCAGTGTTCACCAGTGTTATAACTGTCTGGAACGAATAAACGCGTCTCACATTGATTGTGCACATTTTCTTGCTCCTTTTCTCATAGAGGAAATGCAGCTGTTATTCGAGAACCGACAAAGGTCAGTCTATGAGTAATCTCGAGTATGTTTCATCCTCGGGATGATTTGCATAAAAGCAGCTTTGTGTTGCACTGCGTATCCATAAGTCACAACTGAATTAATGATCTTTGATGTCGAAACAAGCTATAACATAATATAATTGTTATTAAATACTTAAATAGGCAATTTAAAACGTTGAGATGACTTGGTAGTTGCATAATTATATAATTCAAAGATTGCGTTCTTTTCTGTCTTCAAAGATATTCTTTAAGAATGATTGAAGTTTAAGTAATTCTTCTAATGATCCAATAAATCGTTGCTTGAACGTTTCCTATGCATTAATGAAAGCTAATAGGTATAATATTTTCAAGAAGAAACTTGTATAAAATTTATAATTATAATTGCGGATTTTTATGCAAATACATATTTTTCATCTTATCATTATCGTTAATAAGAGGATAATTGTGAGCAATTTATTTCTAGAAATTTAATATATGCATCCGTTTAATTAATTTATTTTAAATCTGATAAAAACCTTATTAAAATTAGGAAAACTTTGAATCACTATAACTTCGAAGATAATCATTTCTGATCGATGAATGAAAGATCATTTGAAACGCGAAAGCTTCCCCTTTAAAATGCCTTTTCATTCATCCCGATACGACTTCCGGTTCCAGAGATATCGTCGTGTAAAGCAAAGGGTAATTTTTAAATATTTACCTTAAATCTAATTAAACGCTATTAAAATTAGGAAAACTTTGAACCGCTATAACTCCGAAGATAATAACTTTTTATCAACGAATGAGCGATCATTCGAAGCGCAGAACCTTCCTCTTTAAAATGCTTTTTTATTTATCCTGATACGACTTCCGGTTTCCAAGATATCGTCGTATAAAGACAAAGGTAATTTTTAATCGTTTACTATTCCCATCCTTGTCGCTTATTCGGACCTCTCGCTCGCACCTCGTCTCGCTGACCTATCCCAAATTCCAAACAAACGATAGACGCGATTCCTGGAAAAACGTAGTACGCGTTTCCAGGAAAAAATATAGGTCACTGGATCGCGAACCATAATTCATAATTCCTGCGTTGTTTACCATTAACTTTAAGTCCTTATATCTCGGTAACGAATTGAGATATCGGGATAAAACAAAAAGCAATTTCAATGGCATAATTTCCTCCATCTTTCGAGGAGGTTTCAATGATGAAATTTTTAGTTTCTTCTCATGTTTTTTTATATGAAAAAGTCAAGAAGTTTCATTTATGGCTTATGTGAATGCAATAGTTTATCGTTGTAATATAAAGTATTTTGTATTTTAACTAAAAATCCATAATCTATTTAGAATTTAAAAAGGAAATTATATTTTTAAAATTTAAAAAAATTAAAATTTGGGTCAGAATTATTTGTTATTCTCCATATGGAAATTGATGCATAAATATATTCGATCACTGAATACACTGCTCATGGCCGCAAGAAATAACAAATGTGTTAGTTCTACACCTGTTTACATGCAGACAGTTCACTCAATAGCTTAGACTTTGGACCATATAATTGCAAAGTTTCCAGAAAACTAGGCCAACTAAACATACTAGAAATTCCTTTGAAAACGTGAATCTTGCATAGACTTTGTGTTCATTTGAAGTGTAAATTTGGAGCAAGATGTTTTAAAGACTAATATTTCTTGGAATATTAGTGTACATCAGTTACAAATAAAATCGTTCTAATCTTCACGAGAAATTTAAAATGATTTGAATCGTGAGAGAAAATATATATTCGTAGCAATTATTCAACAGAAATAATGTTATTTATTTTTATATACAGTGGCATTAATAAATATGCCAAAAACATTTAAAATATATTTCCTTTAATTCAAAGTAATTTACCATTTCTTTTTGATTCATTCTTTCATCTTAATATTCCTTCATTGGTCATTATAATTTAACAACAATAATATTTAATAAACAACACATAAATAATTTAAATAACTCTATCATCACTACCATTCAAGTTTCCATCTCTTTGTACCATATGTGAGAGTGGCAACAGTGATACATATAGAGCCGTCGTAAAATCAATAAAATAAAAATCCCCGGAAAAAGCGAAATCGCGAGGAAAAAAGGGGGAGGGAAGGGAGGACGAACGGCGTGGAATGAAGAAGGGAATAAAAAGAGAGGGTGGATATCGGAAAATAAGAGCAAACGGTGAGCAGGGCCGCAGCCTTTGAAAGGAGGCAAAACGGGAGTCACGTTAAACTTGTAAAATCCAAAACTTCATCCTCGCTCCATCACCTCGAATTACTTTTACATTAATGAGGGGTAAATTATCGGAAAAGAGGCCTGGTGACGTAGCAGGACGTCATAGGGGCACGGAGGTTTCGCAGGATCTCTTTCTCACGGTCACACTTTCACCGTTTGTATCGACTTTCCCTTTCCGGTACGCGAATGCCACTTCAAAATCCGATAAATCCGACTCTCTCCATTTATGGTTAACGCCGAAACGAGCAACGTTGTTATCCCGGCACGTAGAGTCGCATTCGAACATCGAGAGGGATGCAATATCGAGCGTGCGGCCCTGATCGATTACCCATCCCAACCTTACCAGCCTCACCCACTTCGTGTTCAGCTCCGATGAACTCCTCTCGACCAGCTGTAATCCAGTATTAAAGCCGCGGATTCGTGATTTTTCGACGATTCGCCATTCGAGGATAAAAGATGGATAGGAAAGAGGATCGAAAAGTGTTCGAAAGCTTAGTTAAAGCTTCGAATTTGAAGGATAAGGAGAAAATGAGAGGAAAGTTAAGGATGGAAGTTGGAAATTTAAAAGTTGGTAGAGGAAATGATGGGTAAGAAGTTCGAAATTGGAGCTTGAGTAACGAGAAAGAAATTTTAGTGAACATTTCGAATCAAGGAAAGTATGTTGCATCGTTAAAATATTTATTTTAGTTTTTATGATATTAGATATAAATTAAATAAGTAGAAGTAAAATATTATTTTGTATAATGAAATTGATGCAAGATTTGACATATTTCGTTATAAAACTTAAGGGTAATTATAATTTCTTTCTTTTTTTTTAATGGGATATTATTTTTAGAGAAATTTAGTATCATCTAAAAATGAAATTTTGTTTATTTTAATTTATTATGAAAAAGGAAAGTGTTAACATTTGGTGATAAGATAACAAGCCAAGATAGTGCACTGCACTATCTTATTTATTCGCGGATTTCATCCTCCTTTATGTTTCTGAAATCCTGTGAACAGAGTGGCGCCATGTGGTCAAATGAGAAAGCAAATGAAACAAGTGGGGGATGAAACGTGACACATCTTGAAGGACAAGTAATTATATTCTAAAAAATTTTTATGATTTTTTAAAAATTATATCGCAATATAAAATTTTTATTCTTTTAATAGTGTCTTGGATATAAATTTAACAATATATTCTCTTTCTATTCTTTTTTTTTTAATGTATTTTTTATTCTGCAAAACAAGAAACAAAGTTTTATTTTTAAAGCTTTATATTTATAATAGATAGAATTAAAAATGAAGAATTCATTATATCTATATAAAAGATTAATTATTATAAAGAAAAGGATAAATTTTAAAAATTATCTTTGATTTTAAGAATTTTTTAATTCACTTGTAAATATTATAAAATAAATATTTGCCATTATTTGATAAATTAAATGCCAGAACTCGAGTTGTGTTAAGAAGAGAAATCTGATA